TGATATATATTTTTTTCGTTAGGTTCAGAATGATTTTGGCGAAATTATTGCATACACAAATTTTTGCCTGTCCTATATGGCAAGATGAGCGTTGCTATTTAAGCCAAGATCGCAAGCTCTGCCTATTCGGCACGACATATATATATATATATATATATATATATATATATATATATATATATATATATATATATATATATATATATATATATGTATATATATATATATATGTCGTGCCAAATAGGTAAAACTGGTCAATTAGCAAGAACTTATTTAAAATTAAGCCCTTTCTAAGATTTTCCTTTATATGTTTAAAGATATAATTTTTCATTTATGTGAATGTAAAAATTAATAATTTTGTACGAAAAGAATCTTAGAAAACTTACCTAACCTTATTATAACAAGAGCAATTTAATTTAGCCTAATCCAGCTAAATATATTTTAGATAAGTTTACAATAATTTAATAATAAACAAACACTATGAAATATATTTTTTTCGTGAAGTTCATAATGATTTTTGCGAAATTATTGCATACACAAATTTTCGTTTGCCTAAATAGCAAGTTTTACCTATTTGGCACGATATAACTGTTGCAGTTTTATAACTGTAGTGTAAGCATGCGCCTGGCAAGACAGTGATGGAGTGAATGATGAAAGTTTTTCTTTTTCGAGCCACTTTGCCTTAGTGGGAAACGGCCGATGTGTTAATAAAAAAATAATATATATATATATATATATATATATATATATATATTTATATATATATATATATATATATATATATATATATATATATATATATATTATATATATATAAGCTATTACGACAGATTCAACGAAATTGTAAAAAGAAAATGAACTGGCTGATTGCATTTATCTAGATTAAGAAAGTTTCTCGATAAGTTTCCTTTGAAAGACTAATCTGGAAACTCCAAGAAATGTTAGGAACAAAATGTAAGCTATAGCAATGGACGAGATATTCTGAGAGGAAAAGGCGAATAGTTACAAGAGAATAAAATGTTGTCGTGAGCAGCTACCACCAGTGCAGTGCCACAAGGATTTGTACTTGCTCTGTTATTTTTTTTTTATATTAATATCTAACCAGGAGGCTTAGAAAGCAGCCAGTATATTTTTGCAGGTAATGCAGAAAATCTTAGATAAAATAAAAAAGTAAGATGGATGATAGATGGATGACAGAATTTGCTGTAGTTAAATGCCATAAAATGTACATGAGGAAATATCCAAAATCAGATGTGACAAGATATGGAAATTATCAGGAGAGAGAGAGAGAGAGAGAGAGAGAGAGAGAGAGAGAGAGAGAGGGGAGAGAGGAGAGAGAGAGAGAAGAGAGAAAGAGAGAGAGAGAGAGGAGAGAGAGAGAGAGAGAGAGAGAGAGAGAGAGAGAGAGAGAGAGAGAGAGATAGGAATTATAAGAAATAACTAAAAAAATCAAGCAAATACTTCTGTGAGAACCTCATGCTATACTGGCAAACTATAATGTTCGAATATACAGTAAATATGGAAAAATAAAATAAAAAAAAACACTATTTACAACATAAGCAGCAGCTGTAGGGTGACTACATATAAATAAAAAAAATGTAAATAAGCTAGAAAAATCCAAATAAGGGCTGTAAAATATTTACCACTGCTAAGAAAATACGAATTATAATGAAAAGCTGTCAAGAATATAGATGCTGAGGTTAGCAGATAGAGAAGACAAGATAACTACATATAAAGCGATGAAAGACAGGAAAGGACAAGGAGAAACCACACTTGTAAATTGAGAATAAAGTTAAGTAGTAGAGATACAAGAAAATTTTCCCCACGGAATGATAAACCATCAGAACTAATTGAAAGAGGAATCAGTAAGTGCGTCATCCCGCGGAAATGTAACAAAATAATGTAATGGACAAATGACTGCTCGTGTATCTACAAACAGAAAATTAGTGTGTGTGTGTGTGTGTGTGTGTGTGTGTGTGTGTGTGTGTGTGTGTGTGTGTGTGTGTGTGTGTGTGAGTGTGAGTCGCGCCGAAAAAGCCAAACAGGCGAGTTAGGCCTAAAAAGCAAGGGAGTTTTCTGCCGAATAAGCAGAGTGAATATTTTTTCTATATGTGCGAAAACCAATGTGAACATCACGACAAAATATATATAATCGAATTTAGGTAATATTAAATAAATTTAAACTGACCTATAGGACTGTATATATATATATATATATATATATTATATATATATATATATATATATATATATATATATATATATATATGCACACGATGCAAGTTTGTGTGTGTGTGTGTGTGTGTGTGTGTGTGTGTGTGTGTGTGTGTGTGTGTGTGTGTGTGTGTGTGTGTGTGTGTGTGAGAGAGAATATAAACCTCAGGAGAACTTTCGTGAAAACGTTTAATAGCAAAGAAAATGATTCTCTTCAAAATTCCTCCCTTTACGTGTACACATTAAAACGTTTGTGCAGCTAAACCTTCCATGTGGGTGCAGAAATACTTCATATTTTGTACCTAAAAATCTCGCATCTGGACTCAGCTACTGGAACTATGTACTCCAGGGATTTTACGAAAGGGAGAAGGGAGAAAATGAAAAGAGAGAGAGAATAAGCAAATGAAGAAAAGATAACTTACAGAAAAGAGAGAAAAAAAGGGAGACAAAATAAGATACAATTTTTGCTATTTTTAACGAGATTCGCTCGTGTTAATATTTCTAGGATGTAATTTTACGTGTTCCCAACTAGGATAAATGACGGCAATGACAAGAGGAGAAATAGGCAGAAGAGAAGCAGGCGGAGGAAGAGCAAGGGGAGAAGCGGGAGGAGAAGCAGGAGCAGGAGCAGGAGGAGGAGGAACATGAGGAGGTGGGAGGGGAGGAGAAGGACTTGGTCCACAAATTTATTATCATGGGACAGATATTATCATCTGGGAGTCACCTAAATGCTGACAACAATTAATCTTCAAGCCAGAATATTTTATTATTATTAAAATACTATTATAATTATTATAATAATTAAAAATATGACTAAAAATCATAAATAATAATCAATAAAAATTATAATTTCTATTTGGTATCAATTATAAAAAAAATATTAAAACTGATAAAATATTATATACAAATTATAATGAAGGAATAAATTATAGACAAAATAAGGCTAAAGCCAAGAATCAATTGACGAAAATGAGATAAAACACACTGAGGGAAAAATGTGTAAAAAAAATAAATAGACCATTTAGCATTTTCTTCATTGTCTTGTTGCCATGGTAACGCAAGTTTTTGGTACACTACAGACAAAAATTACGTTCTTCAACTTGGTCTGGTTGTAGTAATTATTTATTTATTATTATTATTATTATTATTATTATTATTATTATTATTATTATTATTATTATTATTATTATTAAACATGATGTTGGAATTTGCAGAGATCTTTCCCTATAAATTAGCTTGATCTGATTAATGACATTACAGTGTATAGATGTAGTAAGTTTTTCTCGTATGTCTCACCACTCCTGGGTATCGAATCTAGGTTTTCTGGGTGATGAGCTGAACGCGTTACTACCGAGCTACGGGTCTTTGTTGATGTAGCTGATTACTCCATGCATACTGTGTGTGAGCACACGCAGCTTCACAACAAACTTTGTGTTGTACAGACCTCTCGCATTATACTTTGATAAGGAACTTGGCTGACAAGTGCAGCAACGTCAGATAAAAAAAAAAAAGAAGAGTAAATTACGATGACACAAGATGTGTAGTTGCTCTTGGGTTCATTCTGCAGTTTTCTTTCTTAGAAAAGCATGTTAATAACACAATACGAGGCTTATGGCATTTTATTGAGAACTGATATAGTTCCTGGTGGACGAAATGACTTAATAAAATGCCACGAACCGCATATTGTGTTTTACTAACATACTTGTCCCTATTATTAGAGCCAACCTAACTAGCAAGTGCAGCAGAGGTGGAGTCCACAGTGCTGTTTCTAGTCTCCAATGCAAATATTTTCCCCATGTCCTTTTCATGTAGTTACGAATAACGTTTCCAAAAAGTTTCAGAATAATTACATGGCTTGCTGCTTGTTGTGGTTTTAGGGGTGGGGGGGGGGTAAGGGGGGGGGGGTAAGGGGAGGGAGACCATGTTATAGACCTTTTGTTTTTATGATTGCACAAAATCGAAGTTGGAATAACCATGAAGGACAATACCAGCTTGCTAAACGTTCGGTGAAAATAATAAACTCGTTTAAGTAGACGACAATTATTCTGCATAAAATTATAATTAGATTTTGTAGGGTGATAAATATCTCGTATATTAGTATTAAATAACTCTGAATGATACAGATGCAATATAAGGCCAAGACTAGACGTACAATACTGGGTTTCAGATGTACAATTGAAGTGTACGCCCAGGTGAACGAGATGATATTCTCTCATTGTGGTCATTACACACATATAAAGCATCGCCTGAGCATCAGCGAGAGTCATTTAGGAATAGCCACCTTAACACCAGCTGTTGTGTAGAAAAAAAAGACACTTATGTGCTGTCTAAAGCACTATCCGCAACATGAGTTCCGTTCTCAGCTGTAGAGATAAACCAATCATATAGAAAAAATAAGTCAAGATACTGTGGCTGGAAAAACTTTACAACTAAGTTTAGACGACAACTGAACGACAAATTGGCCCGTTCTGAAGCTTTCATTTTCAATTTATTTCTGCCTTGGACAAAATGTTAATAACACAAATGTTAATAACACAAAATGACACAGCACATCCTTCCCTACACTAACACATTAATGTCCCTTGTCGCACTAAGACCCACAATACAGCACAAGGATGGCCCTAAAGGACCTTTAATTGCCGAACTACTCGACGAAGTCACCCCGAATGCCGTATCGCAAACACGGCAGGAATGCCGCACCATCGACCTGGCTCCGCGAGCGGGCAGGTGGGAAATACCACACCAAACAACATATTTTTTCCGCAAGACATCTTGCCCAGACTTACCTTTTTCATGGCTATCCGGCTTGAATCTGTCCGTGTCATTGGGCTTGGATTCCACCCCCAACATGGTGACGTAGTAGGGGTGGAGGGGGGTGGGAAACGTGACGGGTTGGTGTGTCACACCTCCTTGTCGTCACATTCCCGACGCTTGTTAGCACGTCACACCAGTTACGGTGGTTGAGGAGGCCATCTCACACTGCCTCTCAACACTGCTCGTCATTTGCTATTATGAATATGATTTTTATGGATATCTTACTATTGCAATATTTTGTATTTTGGTCACACACTAGAGGGTAAGAGTGATTAGCGTTAGGTATCCCCGGTAAGGATGGTTGGTGGCGCGGAGAGGGCTAGGTGGTGGTAGTGGTATGGGATGCGTCAAGCCACTCACTCAACTAGCCCGGAGCAGCAGTGTAACCCTCTGCCACCTGGCTAGTACTACTAAACGACGCCGCCCAAACTCCGCCTCTTGTCTCCAGAGTGTGCACGGAGGCTTCGACGTGTGCACGACTTGTCACAACACTATACTTCCCCCCAGAGCCACGTGCACAGCGTCCGACCGCCGCGTCCGTGGTGCACAGCGTCTAAGGTCACACTCCAGGACGGTGATGTTTAGGGTTGGTAGTCCGGGCCTGGTTCCGCCCCTCTCCCTAGGCTCCACCTTCGGAGGGGCGGGACCTCATACTCCACCCTCCACTGTCAACGCTACAAGTTTGTCATTCCTCAACTCGTAAATTCACACTGAATGTATGACACTCGTGTATAATATATATAAAAGGAGCGACAGGGAATGAATATGAAACCAGGAAACCTTTACTTAGCAGGATTTATCTGAAGAACGACAAGACGAGTAGATCTTGTCTTGGTAACACGCTCCTCCCACCGCACACTCAGACGTCGCTAGACACTCAGAGCCGCAGTCACCAGGCAGCCACGTTAGTGGGAGTACGTATATCACCTCCGCTCTCCCACTGAGGGACATTATCTCCTCGAGCTTTGTTTCTCCCGACGTGGTTGTTGCCCTGCTTTTTCTTTTTGGTTCTGAACTCTCACTTTTTGCCTGGCCAAGTTTATACTCAGTTCTGCTTTAGTTTCAACATATTAGTACAAATCTACTTACTTGAGCACATATGATCTGCGATGGCATCCGGTTGACCTTTTTTTTTTTAATATCTTAATATGATCCTCGTGTCTCTGGGTCAACACGAGTCTCATACACACTTCATACCTGTCTTAGAGACAGTTACACTTCTGTAACCAGGAACGACCAAGTACTTGGCATTTTACACAGTTAACTTACAAAAAAAACTCCATGATAGCCTAAGGCGGCAGACAGCACTGAGATCTGGAAACGATAAATACATTTCAGCGAAGGGATTTGAGTTAGGGGGGGAAAATCTGCAGGTATTCACTCGCATGTAGTGTTGGATCCCAGTTTTACGACTTTTCTTAGTCGGGTCCCGACTGGCTTTGTAGCTATGAATAGGAAGATGCTTTTTTTTTTTAATTGGAAAAAAAAAGATTATTCTGATGAAAGAAACACTATTAACGACTATTGTTTTTGGACGATCGTCTGGCGATCAAGGAAGCTTGGTCAGCGGCTGAGACTGTAGGTCACTTCCAGCTTCAGTGACCCGTCCAGCTTGGAGCCAGACCCAGTGGTGCTTAACTACTGGCAAATCACTGGTACACATCTCAGTATCTTAAGTAACAGCAACACGCGCATGCACACAGATGAAAACTCAATAATAAACATATATACATAACACACACACACAGATGAGGATCAAACAGGACTTCAAAGAGGCCTGGACAGGCTGGACACCTGGTCCAGCAACTGGCTTCTCGAATTTAACCCTTCCAGATGCAAAGTCATGAAGATCGGGGAAGGGCAAAGACCGCAGAGTATAGGCTAGGTGGCCAAAGACTGCAAACCTCGCTCAAGGAGAAAGATATTGGGGTGAGTATAACACCGAGCACGTCTCCGGAAGCACACATCACCCAGATAACTGCTGCAGCATATGGGCGCCTGGCAAAACTGAGAATAGCGTTCCGATATCTCAGTAAGGAATCGTTCAAGACATTGTACGCTTTGTACGTCAGGTCCATACTGGAGTATGCATCACCAGTTTGGAACCCACACCAGGTCAAGCACGTCAAGAAATTAGAGAAAGTGCAAAGGATTGGGGCAAGGTCAGTTCCAGAGCTGTTGGGAATGTCCTACGAAGAAAGGTTAAGGGAAATCGGCCTGACCACACTGGAGGACAGGAGGGTTAGGGGAGACATGATAACGACATACAAAATACTGCGTGGAATAGACAAAGTGGACAGAGACAGGATGTTCCAGAGAGGGGACAAAGAAACAAGGGGTCGCAATTGGAAGTTGAAGATCCAGATGAGTCAAAGGGATGTTAGAAAGTATTTCTTCAGTCACAGAGTACTCAGAAAGTGGAATAATCTAGCAAGTGAGGTAGTGGAGGCAGGAACCATACACAGCTTTAAGACGAGATATGATAAAGCTCATGGAGTAAGGAGAGTGAGGACCTAGTAGCGTTCAGCGAAGAGGTGGGGCCAGGAGCTGAGTCTCGACCCCTGCAACCACAATTAGGTGAGTATAGTTAGGTGGGTACACACACACACAGTAGTGAGGCACTCACATAATGTACCGTCAAATTTCAAAATTTTAAGATACATCAAGAGAGTCCAAAGATATTGTTTACAGCATTTCACCAACATAAGAATATACTGCTGTAATATAAAGAATAAAAAAGCCTGCAAGGTTGGGGGATTTCCTTGATGCCGGTGAAGGGCTGTTCATTCATGGACATAGAGTTCGTTTTCCTTTGCTTGGAAAGGATTGCTTCACGGGTTTAGTTGTGAGTGCACATGACTCAGGTGATTTTCTCCTAACAAATCACACCCCTCAAGAGTGACACACGTCTTGACCCGCGGACCCTTCATATTGTAGTGGCTCTCCGCCTAGCTGTCTCTACTGTCAATGTTGTCGAGAAAGTGGTCGCTGACCAATACGGTCTGCGTAGTCTAAATTTACTGCTCATATTCCAAATTATGGCATGTTTAGACACAATTGAGTCAACGAGATGATCAAGACAAGCCCAAGCCTTGTGCCCAGCAGAGAGAGAACCTCTACCTAAATTTACTACACAGCACTTCGGATACGCCTGCTGGCAGCCCTGACGGGATCACATTAGATCCCTGAACAACCGCATAATGCTGGTATAAGTGTGCATCTATCTACCTTAGCCGACACCTACATTCCAATTAGTGCTGGTCAGCAGGTGGTGCTGCTGATCATAGAAAAGACTACAACATGAATATGCACTATTATCGTTTCGTCCCAATAGGATCGGAGACCCTTTCCTCTTGGGATAAAAGTGCCACAGGTTTTGGACGAGCATGTAACCCTGGGTTCCAAGCTCGTCCAGATCAGTAGAGCTCTCATAGGTGCTACCGTTCTCTGGCAGAACAGCAGTGTGGCGATACAGGAGGGAAATGCCTGCTGCATCCTAGGTTCCCACCCAGCCTCTGAAGAGCTTCCAGAACTACACAGCTGAGCAGCTCAATGGAGGTATTTCGTCAGCGAGGGCTCTCGATCCAAGGAATTGGACCTGTCCTTCAATTTCTCGTACCGAATATAACTGCCTTCCATTTTCAAGATGCTGTTTAACCCCTACGGTTTTAGCGCTTTCCTATGACCTTAATAATTCATAACCTTAAATTAAATTACATGTACGTGTGTGCGTGTGCGTGTGTGTGTGTGTGTGTCACAATATCATGGCAGGAACAAAAACAATTAAGCCATAATTAAGAGAGAAAACTTTGATCGACGTTTCGGCCAGACCTGGACCATCATCAAGTCATAAAAAACTTGTAGATCAATGGTTCAGAGAACCGACATGTTGATAAATTAGACACATGTGCAACTCTTGGGTATCTTTATTGAGGAAACGTTTCGCCACACAGTGGCTTCATCAGTCAATACAAAGGAGAAACTTGAAGAACAGGAGGAGAATGAGGTAATCAGTCCCTCAACCTTGAATCGATGTGATCAGTCCATCAATCTTGAATAGAATACGGCATATGTGCGGAAAAGCAGCTTATAAACCGTAGGCAGGAGAGGTGCAGCAGTCGACGGTGGTGTCACATTTGCCCACTGTGGAAGTAGGTCGTGCCCAAGGGTTAGGCAAGCGAAGAATTCCCATGAAAGATTGATGGACTAACCACATCGATTCAAGGTTGAGGGACTGATTACCTCATTCTCCTCCTGTTCTTCAAGTTTCTCCTTTGTATTGACTGATGAAGCCACTGTGTGGCGAAACGTTTCCTCAATAAAGATACCCAAAAGTTGCACATGTGTCTAATTTATCAACATAAAAAACTTAAATTGTCGTCTTAAACTCCGCCCCCAAATATTGGACTAGATATAAACACTTGTAAAATACATCTTTTAGTCAAACAAAATATACACAGACTTTTTTCAAAATATACACATAGACTATTTTTATGTTTCACATAAAAAATTGGAAAAAGTTCAAAGACTTGTTGCAATGTTTTTCCCCAAGTTATTATTCCTGTAATATTTGCTGTCTAAAATTGGGTCAGAAACCGGGGTACGGGGGGCGATGATCCCGTAACCATTAATAAATATAATTGTGTTCAGAAACATGATGGTGCTGGAAATTCTTACGTTGTTAGCCTGGAGATAGAGAGGAGACATAATATCTACATATTTCGTATATATGGGTACGAGAAAACATCTTTGGAAGGATACCTGAGCATAATGGCAAAACTACTGAAGAAGTGTGGCAGAAAGGACACCAAGAACCCGAAATTAAAGGATGAACCGTGTGGCGACGTGTCCTCTCCTTGCCGTATTATCTTACGGCTTTCTCTTTTCTGGCTCCATTTGTGACTTGAGAATGGTCTAGGACGGAGCGAAACATCATCACAAGGTTCAACACCCCCAAGTGCGGGTTTCTGGTAAAGTGATCCAGCCACGGTATAGCGACTTGTTTGTTCATATCGACTGGATACTTTAATAAGTGATATAACAACGTTTCTTCAACAGTTAATATATATATATATATATATATATATATATATATATATATATATATATATATATATATATATATATATATATATATATGTTCTCCTGTTTAACCTGACAGAGCCCTGGTTACTAAGTCATTTGTTTATCCATGTGATACTGCACTACCATTAACAGAATGGACATAGGGTGCACAATAAACTAGCCACTGCTGTCCACAGGATAGATATGGGTGCACAATAAACTAGCCGCTAGTAGCCACAGGATGGATATAGGGTGCACAATAAACTAACCACAACCGTCCACAGGATGGATATGGGGTGAGCAATAAACTAGCCACTACCGTCCATAGTATGGATGTCTGATGAACAAACTAGCTACTACCATCCATGGTATGGATGTCTGGTGCACAGATTAGCTAGTACGGTCCGCAGGATGAATATAGGGTGCACAGTAAACTAGCCACTACCTTCCACACGACGGATGTGGCTTCTACATAATCAAGAGGCATTCACTAAACAGATATACGATGACTTAGCTACTACGCAACGGCCTTCCGTCGTTGCGTAGTTGGATATATAGGAGCCGACCAGTGTGACACGCGGTGAAGGATCGAATCCACGAGGTGAGCTGTTAACTGTAATTGAGAGCACTGTTAACTTCTATTTAACATAAATATTTCCCCAGTCTCCATCAGTGAATGGCATGAGTACTAATTGCACATGTATGGAAGCAATATGCGCTTTCTTTCTGTAGTTAACAATTTGCAAACAACGTAGCGTTAATGACGTACCTTTGACTCTTATAGTCCATAGGTAAGTATGGAGGAGAATGAATAGAGATAACGTAGTAGATAGGCAATGAAAACATGAGCAGTTCGCAGTCCTGAAAACAGCAGCCATCAC